AAAACCAGTTAAGACCAACCTGACCAACTAAGACCAGCTAAAAAGTGGATGCCACTCCTTTAAAAAAAACAGCCTGACCAGCTAAAACCAGCTTAGACTAGCTTAACCTGCTAAAACAAGCTAAGACCAACCTGACCAACTAAGACCAGCTAATAAGTTGCCAGCTTAGGCTGGTTTAAGCTGTTTTTTCAATAGGGTAGCCACCGGCCGACGCACTTAATTTTTTAAGTTTCACTACCAACGAACGAAGTCGTCAACAAGCTTGGCAAAAAAAGAGGGATTTCTTGGCAAGGAAAACAGATCAGCTCTGACAACGATTACGCCCCAGAAGTACTGCAGATGAGAAGCGAATATAAAGAGGTAAATGGTTTGAAAGGCAGAAGTGAAAGTGAAAGAAGTGAAATTTAAAACACTTTATCCCGCCTGTCTGAAGGTACTAAATTAGGAGGGAGTGAAGATTTACAATCTGGTTAAGGAGGCAACACATGACATGTCCAAAAGAGGATTCCAGGTGCAGCCTATTAGCCAGCCGAACACGCGCATTGAACAGATTCAATGAATGTCATGGCAGAGAAATACTCGAATCACAGGCAAACACGACACTTAACAGAGAAAGGGACCAACATTTATGAAGAAACTACAGCCTTTCCAGAGAAATGTGAGAGCCCAGCCATCGTAATCCACTTGTGAACGTAACTTTAACACTGGATTGTAATGGTCAGGATGTGAAATTACTGCAGAAAGGAATCACTCTTCACCAGACTGAAAGACCAAGAGCCGCAACGTCTACATCTCGTTTGAAAAATCTAGTCAAAATAAGAGCCCAATTTTAAAATGTCGGGACATGTTCTATGCGTAGCTTGAATGTTTATTTGTTTTTCTGCCACCCACAAGGGCCCCTACTGTAGACTTATAATACTTTTCCCTTGGAGTGTAGTCATAGTGATGACTTGAGTTATGGTAGTACACTTAATGGAGTTCTTAAGGTTAATATTGTTTGTTGTTTTGTTTTGGTCTATTTTGTTCAAGGGTAAGCTATGTGTTAAGATACTTTTAGTTTAGTACTAAGTATTACTTTAGTATAGTATTACTTTAATTTAGTATTACTTTTAAAGGGTTTTAAAGAGGTATACTTTGCATCTTACTTACTTAAATCTGTGCATGAAAGCGAGGTGGCCATACCTAGATCCAAAATGTTAAATTATGAACAACATATAGTAGACATAAAAGATAATTAATGGAGATTTGTATTGATAAAAGGTAAAATAGAGGGGAATTTGACAAGTTTTTTAAAAGTCTATGCTTCCCCTGGTTCTGAGTGGAATTTTTATTGTGAAGTGTTCGACCTAATTGTTACTATCCCTAGTAGCAAAGAATTCTGGCCCAGATTTGGCAAAAAGCTGGCACAGCAGGCATTCATCCGGCACTGGCATACAGCATGTGGGCCAAACATGGCCCGGGTTTGGCAGAGGTGGCACCGTTTTTAAGGCGGCACACAAGATTTGGGCCAGATGAAAAACGTAGTATTTGGCCCAGATCTAAAAATTTGATAAGTGGGCCATGTGAGTTTGGCCAGTCTTGACCCACATTTAAAATACACTAAAATCATTTTTGAGTAAAGAAAAAAAATTCTACCAATCAGGTCACTTTGAGAAAAAGCGTGCCCATAGTGTGCCTAAAGCGCATCACTCCATGGGTTTATCAATTTCATTGCAATCGTGACACATCAACCTATCTGGCCCAGTTCAGGCCCAGTTATGAGTTATTAACTTGGCTGAGACTTGGCCCAGATATGGTCTGTGTTTGGCCCTTGTCTGGAAGCCAGATTTGGTCCAGTCATGTACCGTAATTCACTGCGGCATGTGGGCCAAGCAAAACCTGATTATGTGGGCCAGAGAAATTTTGCTATGTGGGTAATGTCCAAGGATTTCTAATATGCGGAGGTAACTTTAGCATACATAAGTTGGATTGCTTGGATTTAAAGCCACTAACCAAAAAGTTAAATTGCCTATTATAAGAGATAGGAATTATAATTGTATGAAGAGAATTAAATCCTAGGGTCTGTGATTATACACTCTCATCCCCACTCAACATAGATTTTTTTTTTTACTCTGCGGTTTTCCCTACAGTCCAAAAACATGCGGTACAGGTGAAAAACATCTGCATCTAATTGAAAAATTATTGGATACTATAGATATCTGAAATATGAACAGTGTTGGGCTGGGTGCCACAGACTTGCCGCGCTGGTGTGTGTTCCCAGATTGAAACCTATGTTTAGAATTCTAAAATGCATGGCAATGCGTGGCGTGGCACTTCTGGTGTGCGACCTGCTGAAGTTTAAGGAAGACGCAATGAAAAGTACACAGGTTTGCAAACCCACCTAAAGTTACAAATAATGGCGCCGATGAGAGCAATCATGTGGGGAATGTTGATCCGCCCGCCGAGATCAATCGAGTGTTTTCAGAAAGAATGATAAAAGACTCTGTGGATCAGCTGTTTTTAATGGCCCGAATCTCGATACGTTGCATTTACTGTGTGTTCAGCGCAAATGGCCGCATTATGTAAAATCTCTGTTGCTCATTGCAGGAAGACGATGAAGGCTCCTGTGTTGAGCCCAATAAGCCTTACATCCAAAAACAGAGCAAGGGTGTTCCTTTGTTGACATCACTTTGACTCACATGCTAAAAATGGCGGACGTGAAACAACAAACTAAGAATGTGGTATTGTGCGCCTCTCAATTAATATTTGTGGACGGGGGAATCGCACTCCTACGTCAAGTTGCGATTGGTTTGAACCAAAAAACTCAGAGTAAGATTTAATACACTGCAATTAAACAAAGAAAAAGGTGGGATAGGTCTCCCATGCATGCAACAATACTATTAAGCAGCTCAATTAAAGCCACTAGTCTGCTGGAGTAGTCCTACATATTCAGTAAAATGAATCGAAATAGAGAAAAGGTTGATGGAGGAATTACGTTTATCGGCCCTAATTGCAGACAGCAAACTAAGAAGCAAAATTAATAAAGAAGCAAACCCATGGATTAATCTACTTTTTAAAATCTGGCATCAAACAAAGAAAATATGTTGTTTGGAAGATGCATCAAGAATATTAAGATGGTGTGCCTTCCATACTGATTTCATCCTTAAACAAATAAATGACAGATATTGAATACTAAGTCAGATATTTCTAACATTCTTTTGGAGAGGGTATAAACCAAAATGTTTAATTTCTAAAGGAAAAATATGGGCTTAATCAAAGGGACTTCTATAGTTACCTTCAAATAAGACATTATACTGATTGTATTATTGAAATCAGAAAAAAAAATGTACTTGCAGATGCAGGGATACTAAAATTGTTTCTATCATTGGGCAAGGCCCAATCATGTAATAAGATCATTTCAAAATTATATAAGGGATTTTACGAATCTGTACCAAACAAAACACTATATGTTAGATATAAATGGAAAAATGGAGGGAAATCTGAATATCTCAGATGAAGATTGGGGGAATATTTGTAAAACTCAATGGAAATGCAACAGCTCAGCCATGTGGAGAGAATTCTGTTGAAAAAAATGTTTTAAAGTCTTTCATCACACCATCACAGAAAATACAAAGATTAAAAGGCACTAGCTGCTGGAGAATGTGTAGGGAAAAAGTAGCTAATCCCTATCATGTTTTTGGGATTGCCAGAAATGAACCCCATACTAGAAAGCGATTAAAATACATTTAGATTCCATAATTGAGGTAAAGTTTGCATTCACTTGTGAATCTTTATATTTAGGTCATATCAATTTAAATAGATGAATAAAGACAAGAAACTGTTATTTATTCTTCTGGCAGCTAGTAAAAACTAATTACAAATAAATGATTACAATTTAGAGTCAACTATAGTTAAAGAATGGATTGATACAATGCACACTATAATTAATAGAAAAACTATTTTTTAAGAACACTGATTGAATTGCCCTATGATTGACATGCCCTATGCCTAGATTTGTTATAATTTGTAAGTTTTAAATGTAATATTATGTGTCTAAATATATACCTTTTTTTTTTTTAAAGGAAATCTTCTAAAGGATTTGTAGCTCCCTATGTTTTATTGTTTAGAGTTGTTATTGAAAATACAAAGCATATGCAAGATCTGTAAGTTTCTGTCTGTATAAGAAATTATGTAAGTTTGTATTGTATTTGTTGTGTTGTATTTGTATATGTATTTTCTTTTGGAAAAAAAGGAACATGTTCAGAAAAGGGGAGCTCTGTTTTTAATTATCTCTGTGCTGTTTATCTGACACTCTCATACAGATTAACCAGGATGTTTTTCTTTTTCCTTCCACCTTCAGTTTATTCTTTACTAATTTTTGATCAACATGGCAAGACCACAGAAGACCCCACACTACAAAAACCATCATGTGTTTCCTGGAAAAATAATCCTGAAAAATAAGATGTTAATCTCAGATGGTAAAACATGTTTGTGTGTTAGCTTTTTACAAAAAAATAAATAAATAAAAATTTACTCAACTTATGATTATTTTTTACATTTTTTCAATGATTTGTTTACCTCCTCAAAAAAAAAAAAGTTTCATGACAAATTACAAAAGACAAGTGCCCGATTTGCAACGGGGGGCGGGGCGGAGAATCACACGGAGGATCACGATGCCAGCTCAGCATCGTGGTGTCTGTCGGCCATCGGCCATCGGCAATGGACGATGGCATCCTCTATCGGCCCAACCCTACTGAAGATGCTCCACTAATTGATTGTTTATTATTGATACTGTACTTTCCAAATCCAACACTGTATCATGACTCTTAAGGCAAGACAAAAATGTTAAGAGATATTTGTTCCTAATTTACATAAGACTAAAATATCTAAACATAAAATATATAAGCGGGCTATTTCAAAGTAAATATCTGACCTGTTGTGTGAACCCTGCAGCTAAAAAAATCATATACAGAAAAAATGTATTACAGCTGACAAGAACATTTTTTTAGTTAAAGACATACCTTTATCAGGTGAGTATATTAGAAAGCAGAGCAGAAGAGCAGATCCAGATGCAGAAATACAGAGAATCATCGTCATTGTGTGTAAAGCAGAGAAACCTGAGAAACACAGACATCCATTAATGAACAAAAAAAGGTGCACAATTCAATATTATTGGTACACATAACAAGTATAAGTACAAACCTTAAGTATTTAAAATGGAAGTAGAGTACAAAAATGGCCAGAAACTACTAAATAATGAAGCAATGTATGACATGCCAGAAAATAAAGGAAAAAAAACTCATCGGACTCATGCAAGCTTTATTATGGCAAATGTACATTTACATGTGACTCACCCAGTCTCTCCAGCTGTACAGTAGCATTGGCTGATAAAACTCCAGCAAACACTTGACACATGTAAACTCCTTTATCCTCAGTTCTGACACTCTTCAGTCTGAGAGAGAAGTTTCCTTTGGGGATTTCAGCAGTGAAGAACTCAACTCTGCCTCTGAATTCCTCATGTGTTGCCTCTGATACAGTCTTATTTTTCTGGTAAAGCAGAACTGTAATATCTCCATCTTTATCTGTTTTCCTCCATGAAACCTCTTCAATGTGTTCAGGTGTGATGTGAGAGTCTACAGAGCAGTTCAGAGTCACGTCCCCATCAACATATGCAGAAACTAACTTTTCTGGGCCTGACACCAGCAAACGCTCTGAAGGAATAAAATTGGTTAATTTCACAATGTAATCTGATTTAGATTAGAAAAAGTGACTCTTCTTACCAATGTTTTTTATCTCAGCCACAGTTTCTCCAGAATCCTGCTGACTGTGAACTCTACACCTGTATTCTCCTTCATCTTGAGCTGTCAGATTGTCCAGACGGAGGGAGAAGTTTCCATGTTGAATCTCCTCAGTAAAGAAATGAGCTCTATCATGATAATCCTGCTGCTGGACCTCTGCTCGACTCTCACCATCTTGATACAGATGAATCAGAGTCTCTGAGTCTGCTCTTCTCCATTCCACCTCCAGATCCTCCACTGGTAAAGCTTCATCAACATAACAGGGCAAAACCACTGAAGATCCCAGAGGAGCAGACAGAGGAGCAGAGGGGCCACGAACAACTAACCCTGTAAGTAGAGAGAGAAATAAAATGATGCACTGATCATTGCATGCATACAATAGACTATAAAAAGGATAAATAATTAACACATAGAGGCAGCATGGTGGCTCAGTGGTTAGCACGGACGCCTCACAGTAAGAAGGTCGCTGGTTTGAATCCCGGCTAAGCCAGTTGGCATTTCTGTGTGGAGTTTTCCTGTTCTCCCCATGTTTTTGTGGTCTTCCTCCGGGTGCTTTGGTTTCCGCTATAAGTGGATTGAATTAACTAAATTGTCCATAGTGTATGAGTGTGTGTGTTTGGGTGTTTCCCAGAACTGAGTTGCAGCAGGAAGGGCATGCGCTGTGTAAAACACATACTGGAATAGTTGGTGGGTAATTCCGCTGTGGCAACCCCAGATAAATAAGAGACTAAGCTGAAGGAAAACGAGTGAATGGATTAGAAAATATTGGAAACTGTAATCATTTTCTATATTCACTGAATGTATTATCAGTAGTAAAAGATTGCAGAGGAATAATTTCACTAAAGGTTAATGTGTCACATTTCAGATAACATCCTTCACAATTGTGCTCATAATGACATCTTGCTGACCTTATTGTCTTTTTGCCCAAGACAAATTTCCTCTCTGGGAAAAATAAAGTCTATCCTATCCTATCCATACCATAATGGCACAGTTCACCTCAATTAATCTCCAAAATATTTATGAGATTCTTTATTCATCTATGAAACACAAAAGAAGATATTTAAAAAAAATGGTGGAAATTGGTAGACATTGACGTTAATAGAAGGACGAAAAATACTATGAAAGTCAGCAGCTATTGGTTTCTAACATTCTTTATAATATCTTCTTTTCTGTAACGACAACTCTCAGACATTTGTTATGATTTTAGTATTTTTCAGTGGTCCAACATTCATGCAATCATTCATTTTCTTTTCGGCTTAGTTCCTTTTTTAATCTGGAGTTGCCACACCTGAGTGAACCGCCAACTTATCCAGCACGTTTTACACAGCGGATGCCTTTCCAGCCACAACCCATCACTGGGAAACATCCATACACATTTATTCACACATACCCATACACTATAGTCAATTTAGCTTACCCAATTCAGCTGTACCACATCTTTGGACTTGTAGGGAAAACCGCTGCACCCGAAGGAAACCCACGCCCAGTGTAGGCATGGGATGATAACTGTTTTCAAGGTATAACGCTGTTTAGTAAAGTCAAGGTTTTAAAATCGCCAACATTTTCTGTAATACCGTTCCAAAGGTATGAGTAGGATTTCTCTCTTATTTTTAGTTTTTTAAGACAACAGTATCTTCAGCTGACAAAATATCCAAAGATGCTGTTTAGAATTGTAAAGAAAGCACTGTTTTTAAAGCTAATGAAGTCAATGACTTATTTTAATTATTCAGCCTGTCATGTTTACTGTTCCACACTATTATAAATCTTTTAAAAATTTAAATATATTATTTTCAAAGGGGAAAAAGTGTTTGTTTTTTACCCAAACATGTAAAAATAATTTTTTGGACAGTGAGCATAATACCGTGATACAGTGATATTTATTATAGCGGCCTACACGAGGAGAACATGCAAACTCCACACAGAAATGCCAACTAACCCAGCCGAGGCTCCAACCAGTGATCTTCTTGTTGTGAGGTGAACGTGCTACCCACTGTGCCACCGCGTCGCCCTGGTGCAACATTTCTGTTTTAAAAATTATTTCTGTCAATATTCTATATAACATTCCAAGATACTGAATTCTGGGTTTTCATTAGCTGCAAGCCATAACCATTGAAACGGAAATACATACTTGAACTACAGTATATCAGTCTGTGTACTGAATCTATATAATATATGAGTTTCACTTTTTGAATTGAATTACTGAAATAAATCAACATTTTAATGCTGTACTGATTTATTGAGATGCACCTGTATATACAGAGCTCAGCATAAATGAGTTCACCCCTCAAACTTCTGTTTTAAATAAATATTTTTTATTGAATGAATGCATCAATATATTAGTACATACTGTATACATTGGATTACTCAGTACCAAATCCAAAACTGGAACTAATCACAAAACTTCAAATCATAGTGCAAAAAAAAAAAAATAATACACCCGAATTACTTTGTTGGGGGATAATATTAAATACAATTATAAAAAACATGAAAAATCAAGAGAAACACAAAACAGATACAATTTAGATGAAATTTTGTTGTTTGTCTTTATTATTATTATTAATATTATTAATTTATTCATTCTCTTTTCAGCTTAGTCCTTTTGTTAATCTGGGTCGCCACAGTGGATTGAACCGTCAATTTATACAGCATATGTTTTAGGCAGAGGATGCCCTTCCAGCTGCAACCCATAACTGGGAAAATTAATACAATTATTATTATTATTATTATTATTGGGTGACGCAGTGGTGCAGTAGGTAGTGCTGTCGCCTCACAGCAAGAAGGACACTGGTTCAAGCCTCGGCTGGGTCAGTTGGAGTTTCTGTGTGAAGTTTGCATGTTCTCCTGCTGCATGCGCTGCATGGGTGCTCTGGTTTCCCTCACAAGTCCAAAGGCATGTGGTACAGGTGAATTAGGTAGGCTCAATATTGTCCACTGTATGAGTGTGAACGAGTGTGTATGGATGTTTCCCAGAGATGGGTTGCACCTGGAAGGGCATCCGCTACATAAAACATGTGCTGGATAAGTTGGTGGTTCATTCCGATGTGGCAACCCCACATTAATAAAGGGGCTAAGCGAAAAGAAAATGAATGAATTATTATTATTATTGATATTATTTTTAATTACTCATTTGAATTCAAATGTATCTTTTATCGATAATATTTCATCATATACATGTTATGTGACGAAACACCTATTTTAATCAATAAACAGTTTAAGGATTAAATTCACCCACACGACATTAACCCATATGACACATATAACAACACACTTGCAATGCCACCTAGTGATCATTCCAAGGTCCTACACTCATTTTCAAACCCCTGGTCGCCACCATAAATGCAAACTGCTTAGTCATTTCAAAACCTCTGTATATTAAATCAAATGTATTTATATTTAATGTTAAAAAAATCCTTAAACTAAAGTTAAAGTTCAAAATTAATTGCCAATTCAAATAATAAATACAACCCATTTTTTTAAACCTAGGGTGAATTCGGGTAATCTCTGGGACACTTTTTGCAATTTTGACTTCAGCTCTCTATTTCAATGTCTGTCTAACTAATTAGAACCACATATGAGACTTTTCTGAAATCTCTAAGATGTTTTCTAACCACCTAAGAAAACATAATATAGATATTATACTGAGAAGAGCCATGCCACACCTATTAGTATTTTTTGTCAAAAACAAAAATTCTACCTGAATTTGATAATCTGGGACAGGTCACTTCGTAATCTGGGACATAATGTATTTGGGCTGAAAAAGTATATATTTGCCATATTTATGCATGCCAAACTCAATTTTACCAATTTTAAAAAAGTTTGTGTGTGTGTGTGTGTGTGTGTGTGTGAGAGAGAGAGAGAGAGAAAGACTGTGCAAGGGGTGTGTGTGTGTGTGTGTGTGTGTGTGTGTGTGTGTGTGTGTACAGAACATTGTACATTCCATCTTTGTAGTCATTAAATTTACAAAGTCTCTAAATGCATTTTTCTCCCAATTAAAGGACTGTCCCAGATTACCCAAATCATACTGTCCCAAATATGATTGATAATGTGGGACAACAAAAATGTTTAAAAGAAAACAAATCTAAAAAACATTTTCAACACTTTAATACATATTTTGTTATTTGAATAGATCACAAACATAATTTAATAACAATTGGGAACCTTGTCTTATTTATGACAGGTTTATATCCTTAACATTAATCTGGTCAGAATCCTATGTCACTGACCTTGTCATCCAATTTTGATGAGAGCCTCTTGATTGACAAGTGCCCGATAAAAAAAGATATAGATAAGAATCTCCTGTTTATGTTTAATCTGTTGATATTATTGGCCAAGTTTCACATACACAAATGTAAATGGTCAGAGAGGAAGCCTAACATCTTTTATTTCAAGGCTGATTTAAAAATTTATTTTGAAACTCTTAAAGGACTTTCAACTCGTAAAGCGACCAGAACTGTGAATATACTTATGGTAATATTATGTATATCCTGTTATTTGTTTTATTTTTCTTTCTTTTGTCACGCGTTATGCTAAAATATGTAATATTGTAAGAAATGTCATGTATTTGACAGGAAATGTTCAGAAAATACATTAAAAAAAAAAAAAAAAAAAAGATTGACAAGTGCCCGGCCTCCCTCTATGGAACACCATGTCATGTGAATTTACACACATGAAGTCCATGCTAAATTCATAATAAAAGTCCTGTTGCCTGAATTTTGTTAGAACAGAAATAAACACACAGAAGCTTAGGTGTCCCATATTACCCAATGTCCCAGATTACCCAAATTCACCCTACAATTAAAATGATTTGGCAGTAATAAAGTTTTCAGCAAAAATATAAATTTTAATCAAATATTTTTGTTTCATCACCAAAGACATGGTGTGGAAAGGGAGTTGGTTTTAGCCCAAAAATGACGCAGTGTGTTTTTTTATAACAGCCATGTCAGAAGATGCTTCCCATATCATGATCCAAGATGATAATGCAAAATAGCTCGCACAGTAAATGAAGGCGCCATTTTCACCGAAATATGCATCTTTCAACACCATTAGCAATGAGCAAAAGATGACATCTCACCACAACTCAACATTAGCACTTGTATATTTATGCAAGAAATATCCTTTACGTACCATCAACGATCTTCAGAATTACTGACATCAAAACAATCTTCAGCTGATGCATCTTTAGATATGTGAAATTAAACAAAACGAGCATCTCTAAATGACTGGAAATATCACTGCTGCTGACGGACAGAGATGCTCCGCAATGCGGCACGATGAACGCTTTCCAACATCGGTTTAGGTTTCTGTTTCAAAATGACACAAGGAGTGGGGCGATTCAGATGCTTTTTAACTGTACTGTAGACCCATAAAGCTGTACACCAAACACACCAGCTTGATAACTTTAGCACTGTATCCCGCAGGAAAATAATCAGACAATAACCAAAGCATTGCCAATAAATCTACAGCAATTAAAAGAGCCATAAGCAACACAATGAATATGCATGCATGCTTGTAAAGGCTAGATATACAATTGTGACATTAAATATCACAAAGAATCAGATATTAAGTCGAACTTTCTGTGTTGGCAACAAACTCAGCAACATACACCGTCAATGCATCTTTGGATTAAACTTGCCTCACAATATCCTTGTAAAAATAATGACAAAATCTCAAATAAAATATTTTTACAGTTCACTTGCAGGTTTGCAGTCCCTTACATCAGTGGTTCCCAACCTTTTTTTTTTTTTTCCCTCCCTGAGACCCCCTTTTCTTTTGGAAAATATCTTATGCCCCCCTCCACATTTAATGATATGATGGCTCATATAAATTTTTAGCTATGACAACAAATGTTGTTTTCCAACAAACGGTTGTTTTGTCTCACCAGCTCCACCTGGATGATGCAGCAGCAGCCACAGGACCACATCCCCAGTGTGCTCACTACAGGCCAGCTATAGGTGGAGGAGAGACAGTGATAGAGCCAATTCAGTGGATGGGGATGACTAAGGCCATGATCAGTAAGGGCCGATGGAGAGAGTTTGGCCAGGACATCAAGGTTACACTCCTACTCTTCATGAGAAGTGCCATGGGATTTTAAATGACCACAGAGAGTCAGGACGTCGGCCAAAGCTTTTGCTTTGGAATAAGATTATTTTACTATCCCAACAAGTCAAAATCTCTAAGCAAAAAAGCCACTTTCGCAGTTTAATGTGCAAGAGCTTTAAGGATTTAAATAAGATCATAATATTTAAGTTCAGATAAAAATTTGTTGCAACCTACAACCACTAACATTCCACTAACATTGGCAGCACTAGAATAGAAACTACCACCATTTGCAAAAACAGAAAATATGATGATTACCATCAGAATAAAAGGCGCATAAATAAAACAGAAATTCTGAAACACTCAAAAATAAATAAATTCACATTTTTATAACAATCCAGTTGTATAAAAAGCTGTACATCTGTCAGTTTATGGTCATATAAGTAACAACTATAAAATGAGACTTAATGAACCATTTGTATTAGTTTTTTTTAATTAATCAAATTTATATATATATATATATAAACTAATTCAAATGGTTCATTAAGTCTCATTTTGTAGTTCAAACACATGAGGAACACATTTTTGCAGTGTGTAAAGACCAAAATAGTTTAAGTCTTTTTGCATTCAAAGACGTGTGGGTAAAGTCTCCATTTCATGATCCTCTGTTGTGCTCTGTGGACAAAATAAAGTATTGTTATTTGTCAGCTGCAAATCTGAACGCCACACTGATGGCAACACTTATCCAGCTGATCATCTGATATATAATATTAGTATATCACCTCATGCTGAAAGCTTCGAGGGCAGTTCCTTTGACTGTGTGTAGATCTGTATTAGAAAACAAAACTACTGATTTAACATTGATCCATAAACAGCTGAATATGTGTTATATGCATTTATACTGCAGGGCAGTTGAATGCTTGATTCTGATTGGCTAATGAACATTCTAAAGTGTGTAATTATTTTCATATAAACACATAGCTAAAGTAGTTCCAGCAGGTTGTGAGTGCATTACAGCGCTTTATCACTATGAATGATTTCAGTCACTTCATCCATACAAGAGTCAGAAGTCACATGAAAACACAACAGAAGGTTTTGGATGAGATGTGTGAGGAACTAGTGCTACACAGGAGCAGTTTGAGAACAAAAACCTGACAAATGTCTGAAATAAATCATCTGAACAGTGGCTTTTAACAGTTAGGTCTGGGAACTGTAGTATAAATCGAATTGCTGGCTTTGTTAAATTATGTGAAATTAAATCACACCCCATACTTGTCTTAGTTTTCCAATAATTCAACAACCAATTAAACCAGTCGCCAATTATTCCTTATGTATATAATCAATCATGCATGCACAGCAGACACATTCATGAGAACTGTTGAGTAAACATCTGAACTTACCCTTTTCTAAGAACCTTCCCTATAAAAGGAGACAACAAAAGAGACAAAATAGTTAATTAATAAATAAATGTTAATAAATGACTGATCAAAATTAGAATCACATTATGCAAAAACTATAGTTAATAAAATGGAAAAAAGGTTACATTCATTGTTTTTTGAATGTATATTTTAATGAATGTTTGATCATTATCAAAAATTATGAGACAGTGATCTCTGCTCCAATTTTATTTATTTATTTATTTATTTATTTATTTATTTATTTATTTATTTATTTATTTATTTGTCTATTTATTTGTTTGTTTGTTTGTTTGTTTGTTTGTTTGTGTATTTTGAATATGTTGTCTAGGTTGGTCAAAACAGTACAGTACTTACAGTAATTTAAAGTGAGTTTATGTATACAAATACAATACACTACATACAGTAAGGATTACAGACAAAGAAACCAAAGGCCCATCATAATATACTATCTTGTCTTATGATATATTATGAATCTAAAAATGTTTTAAAGAGCCCCTATTATGGGTTTTTGATAATGACCTTCCATGCAGTGTTTAACACAGCAATATTCAGCTGAGGCTTAAATCAGAAAGTGCAACATGTTTAAAACTATTGATTCTTTAGTGAGGTAGTGCAGGTAGTGCTGTCGCCTCGCAGCAAGAAGGTTGCTGGTTCGAACCTCGGCTCAGTTGGCTTCTCTGTGTTTCGTTTCTCAGTTTACATGTTCTCCCTGCATTCGCATGGGTTTCCTCCGGGTGCTCCGGTTTCCCCCACAGTCCAAAGACATGGGGGACAGGTGAATTGGGTAGGCTAAATTGTCCGTAGTGTATGAGTGTGTGTGGATGTTTTTCTGGACATGGGTTGCGGCTTGTGCTGGAAAAATTGGCGGTTCATTCCGCTGTGGCGACCCCGGATTAAAAAAAATGGGCTAAGCCGACAAGAAAATGAATGAATGGTTCTTTAATAGTTAACTCAGAGTCGAATAAATGAATCGTGTTGGGTTCAGATCTTTCCCTTCAGACACTAGCAAAGGCGCATGAGGAACATGGGACTGATCATGACGATGATGACGAGTTTCAGCTGTCGGGAATAAAGGGTTAAAGTTCATTTTCACAACAACACCACAATATAGCCAACCCTGTGCTGTGTTAGTTAATGTCATTTTTCTGATGATTGATAAAATAACCAATGCTGCAACACAGGATTTGTCGGCCATTTGCTATTAAAGCAAGGAGCAGCAGAGACTATGTATGGGACTTTGTCAGACTTTGATAGGGACTTTGTTAGTAACTTTTACTGTTCAAATAGACCAGTTTCTTCTTCCTCCGGATCATAACATGTAAGTGTAAATAAAACTGTTGCCTCGTTTGGTACGCAGTCGACCAATCACAACAGACTGCAGGCCTAACATACACCCAGCGCAATAAGGCGAAAGACGTGTTTGCTCCGACGTGTTGCTATTTTCAGACCGACTCAACCTTAATTTTCCACCTCGTTGTTTGAGAGAGGTCTGGCTGCAGATCTGGTGCAGTGCAATCTGGGCTGCATCCAATGTTTTTTATTGGCTGCATTGGCTGCATCCAATGCTTTTTAATAGGCTCACACAATGCACTCAAATGGAGCTAGTGACGTCACTATGGACCCCTAACTATGGACCCCTAAATGGACCACTAGCTCCATTTGAGTGCATTGTGTCCGACATTGCATCGCTGAGTGATGCAGTCACAGCTTGCATCATAAAGGCTGCATCCAGATACTGTTGTGTTGTTTAAATAGCATATCGATTTGCACCACTTTGTGGACTCATGGGTGTTCCGGTCTAGAAAAGAGGTGTGTTAAGGTGCATTGTTGGCAAGTTGCTATTTTGAGGAACTAAAATAGACTGTACAAGCTGAGAGGAGGTCTAAAGTCTTAGATTTGTCCACCTGTCAGGTTTTAGACTATATAGGGCACAGCATGTGTGTTTGGATATAACTCAGTTATTTGAACACACTTTGTTATTATTGTTCATTTATTTGTTTGCTGGAAATTAGAACTGAAGTTAGAAATAAATTTGAAAAATATTTGTGCTTAACAAACTGAATGAGTTGTGTAGACACACCCATAACTCATTAAGGGTATAAGCTCAACCCTGTTAGACCATGCACCGCAGTGCAGAGTGTATTTATCCATCCTTAAAATAGCAAAAGTGGATACGGACACGCCCTTAATGCTTTTGCACCCAGCCCTTTAGACTTTGTGCTTAGATCACTAAAATAGAACCCTGGGTCATTGATCCAATCAGGGCAGATTAGCTTCGCGCAAAAGGGGGGTTTGGGAACAAATGAATCGCTGAATGATTTATATGGAAGTGGTTGGGATAGTTAGGTAAAAATAAATGCATGTTGCAAGACAATTAAAGTGCTTTTTGACCTGGCATGCATGTCGGCATTTTGTTGAAGACCCATAAAATCAAAATAGGACCTTTTATAATGCAAATATTTTGTTATTTCTGCACTAAAGACAAAAGCTAATAACAAAATGATAAAAGTATTGGCAAACAAAAGATTTTTATACTTACAGAATGAATGTATTTGTAACAACAGCCAGTAATAGGCAAAAACACATTCAAAAGGGAAGACGATGACTCTGAGATCCCCAATAACACGTTCTCCAGTTCCTAAAATATACCAGTCACACTTTACTTTAAGATACAATTCTGACAAACCATCAACTATGACTTTTAGCTCAATAAACTCCTAATTTTCTGCTTATTAATAGTTATTAAGGAGGTGTTTAGGTATTGGATATAGAATTAGGGATGTAGAATAAGATCATTTAGATCATGCAGTTATTATTTACTATTAAATGGCCAAGATCTTGACAATAGGCAGGTAATTTGCCACTAGTTAATAGTAAGAATTGGTTCCTCTACTAACATGTTTTCAATTTAACAATTAAAGAACACTGAAGAGGAGCATGGTTGGTTGTAGAAGGGATACAGCTGTGGCTGGAGGGTAACAAGAATTCATTCATTAATTTCCCTTCAGCTTAATCTCTTATTTATCATGGGTCGCCACAGAGGAATGAACTGGCAACTATTCCAGCATATGTTTTACACAGCGGATGCCCTACAGCTCAACCATACACTCTTACAAATAATGGTAAAATGTTGTACCAAAGAAGGTACAAACCCTCGTCACTGGAGCAGTACCTTTTTATGGAACAGAATTGTATCTTAATAAAAAGAAACAAATTTGTAGCATTGCAGTTTGTACCATAAAAACATGATTTGTACAATGGGAAACCATGTACCTTTGGTTTT